TAACTACCTTCATGTAATCAACAAATCACATAATGTCTACAGTTCACTTTTTCTATAATGAACTCCTCTTTTGTCTCATTCATTTTTTTGTAATTAACTTCTCACTATAATGAAGCTTCCCTTTTCTTTTTTTTATAATTAATTAATTTTTCTTTATAATGAACATCTTATAAACACTCTCTACAACAAACAAAGGTATTAGAATCAATTATTAAAAATATTATATGTATCATCATTTATATTATTTATACTTGTCCATTGTAGCGAAAGATTTCCAGTCTCTCCACTCTATCAATAAAATATCAAAATGAATATTTTTCAAGAAAAAACAAAATATCAGTTCATACATATAGATAAGCATACAAGTAACAAGAATATTGAAAAATATATATTGTTTATCTATCACCTATTAAAAATGATTGAACTAATCATCAGAATTACCAAAAAAGCACTATTTGAAGTGATTATTTGTATCAAATAATAATAAGCATAATGGTACTTATTTTCAGGCAATTCTCTTTCTGCTACAAGTTTATGTTCCAAAGGAGATAAACAATATGTTCTAGGAGGTAGGCCAAGAGAATATTGTGGTTTTGGTCTTGATATTGGAATAGATTGAACAAGAGATGAGTCCGCAACTCGATTCTTAATGTTGATTCTGGAGTATTTCCTAATCATTTGTCCTACCATTCCAAAGATTATATTGATTTGATAAATGTTGATTATTCATTTTCTTTAAAATAAAAATCTAAGATTTTGGCCGATCATGTCCATTTTGAAAGACATTATCACTAAGGGATGAAAGGATTACCTACAGTATATATGAAATTTACCAAGAAGAAAGAAAACCATGAAGAATTTAGAAAGGAAAAAAAATTGGAAAGGAAATGATTTACTACCTAACTTAACATAGACGAGCATATGTTTGTTATCTTTTATTTAAAGAAATTAAAAATAAATTTGGTAAAAAAGAATTAGTGTGGGTTGGTTTGGCCTGCTTCGATTATTTGCTCTTGTTTCTTTTTTTAGGCGAATTTTCTCATTTATCTTTTTTGTAACCTGTTGTAGTTTATTCTTTTTGGTAAGGCTTGCTGGCTAAATATAGTTCTTGTTTTAGTTGCTGGATTCCTTGGGCTTGTTGATTAAACCTGCCGTAATTGGTTATTTGTGGCAATGGTGGTTTACCCCTGGTAGTTACCATTATAAAATATTTACAGCTGCCGCAAATAGTTATCAGTTACTGCAGATCACAAATAATTTTCTCACGACTACTATTTGCGGCAGCTGTATCTATTTACACCAAGTATCTTTATCTCTGATTCTTAATTGCTCTAATTTCTCAGCTAATCATCTTCTTTATTCTTGGGCTACTTTTAAGGCTTCAAGACGAGTTTCAGAATGCATTCTTGCATCTTTAGTTTTTTTGTTTTCAGTCTTCAATAATTTTAATAATTTTAATTATTGTGCTATTTCTCTCTTCATTTCTTAATTGCTTAATAAATTCTTCTTTTCAATTATCTTTATCTGTTTCTATTTCTTCATCAATTGGTTCATCATATTTTGAACCTACTTCAGCAAATGTTTTTTCAAGGTTTTTTTTTATATTCTATTTCAATTCTTTCTTTTTCATTAATTTGTGCTTTTCTACTTTTAAGTTTTCTTTTTCTAATTCAATTTTGTAGCTATTAAATTATCAATTATACCCTACCTAACATTTCTTCTAATTGTTCAATTTTCTTTTTTAATTTTATTAATTCTTGATTATTTTCAGGTAATTACTTGAATTCCTTTTAATACTACCATAATATATTATGACTTTTATTTAACTTTTTTACATATTAGAACTATTTTACTACATGAAATTTGGATAAATTTACATATACAGTTCACTCTCTATAATGTACCTTATGTGTAATTTTTTTACTTCTATTTGTTATAGAGAGCATTTACTAAAATGTTCATTATAAAGAGAGAAATTAATATAAAAAAATCGAACTGGAAATAAAAATGAAGTTCATTATAGAGAGTGTGAGCTGTAACTATGTTACATACAATAGATGAGGGAATTTATTTATAAATTGTTAATGACATTATTTATTAATTTTATGATTTTAATAACAAGGATTCCTGATTAATGAGTGACAGGTTAATAAAACCAAACAACTCTTCATTACAGTTTCACTCTCTATAATGGACCATTTAGCTTACAAAAAATGTCTGTAAAGACTTCCTAAATTTTGCACAAATTAAAAAAATAGCATGATTAGTTGATAGAATAGGCCTTTAGTTTTAATGTAATAACGTGATTTTCTCAAAAAATTATTTGTTGTAGAGTTTTAGTACATGTATTTTACTATTATATACTACTGCATAATTGATTATGGTCAAAAAATTGCATTGTTGTATTGATCATCAGAATTTATGATTCATTGTGCATAATTCACTTTTATTGTCGCATAAATTCATCATCCTTGACTTGATATTTTTTGGTTTTGAAGGATGTGTCGTTTTTTTAATAGTTGTCGTTTATTTACAAAAATGATCAGTACTAATAATAATAAGGTATTTTATTCAAAAGTTATAAATATATATATATATATACACACACTTATATATATATTAATAATTTACTAGGTTTATTTTCATACCTCTGTAAAAACAGTATCAACTACAACTTCCAGTTTTTCCACCATCTCTACTAATAATAATAACAATGTTATTGTAAGAATTTATTAAGATTGAGATATATATATATTTTTTTTTTTGCTTAATTAATGGTTTTATTTATTTATTTTTAAAAAAGAATCACAAAGTTGGAGTTATTGGAGCAGGACAAATGGTTTTTCTAATTAATTAATTAGTTAATATTATATTTATTTGAATAATAGATTAAAATATTTTATTGTTAATTAAATAAAATTAGGGATTGGGAATTGCATTTGTAATTGCAAATGTTAGTCGTTTACCTGTTAAAATCATGGATTCAAATCCAAATCAAATTGAAAAGGCATTGAAATTTATTGGTCTGATTTAAAAAATTACATATTAATTTCACTCAGTTTTTTTAAAAAAGTTTATAATATGAACATATATAAATTCTTCTTAGATGGCCTACTTGAGAAAGAGATTAAAAAAAATCAAATTACAGAAGAACATGCTAGTTTAACAAAATCATTAATTAAAACAACAGAAAATATTTCAGGGTTAAGTGAAATGAATTTTGTGATTGAAGCAGTACCAGAAAATCTAGAATTGAAAAAAAAGGTGTTTATTGATCTGGATAAGTCAACTAAACCAGATACAATTCTTGCCACCAATACTAGTAGTATTAGTATTACTAAAATTGCAGCAGTTACAAATAGACCACAGAAGGTAATAATGAATTGGATGGATACAAAGAAAAGAAAGTCACTATTCTCAAAATAATCTTATATTTGTTTAGGTGATTGGTATGCATTTTATGAATCCAGTGAGTGTGATGAAATTGGTTGAAATTATTCCTGGTTTAGCCACATCAGATGAAACTTTTGATACAACCAAAAATTTAGCTATTTCCATGGGTAAAACATGTACATTGTCAAAAGATGTACCGGGATTTATAGCAAATAGATTATTAATGCCTTACATTAATGAAGCTATTATGGTATTAGAACAGGTAAAGTTTTTTTTTTTCAAAAAAATCAATTCAGAAATAAAAAATAATAACTACATTAACCATAAATTGTCTAGGGCATAGCAACTTGTGAAGATATAGATACCACTATGAAATTAGGTACAAATATCCCAATGGGTCCTTTAACTTTAGCTGATTTCATAGGCCTTGATACATGTTTAGCAATAATGAAGGTGTTACATACAGAGATTGGTGATACTAAATATAGGCCAGCTATTTTATTACAAAAATATGTTGATGCTGGTTGGTTAGGCATAAAGAGTGGCAGAGGATTTTACATGTATCAAAAAAATTAAACAGTTACTGTTACACAATATTGATGAGATAAATTTGTCTTCATAAATTTCCTTTTATTATCTCTATTTTTTTTTTAAAATAATATTCTTGTTGTAACTGGCCCAAACTGCATTGACAGTGATAACAAAGAAAAGTCGTAATAGGTCATCATGTCTTCACCAAACCAACATTTCAATGATGCCAATGGTTATGAGATCCCTTTGTCTCATAATAATGATTACTCTAATTGGAGTGAAGATTTGGTGACCTCAGAAATAATTCCTCCTTCCTCTTCTGCAATTTCGTCTCCCATCATAACAAATAATGATGACTTTGCTCCTTTAACTTCAAAAATTAAATTACTTTCTTCAACTTCCACCACTTTAAAACCAATTCAACTGACATTTACTAAAAACATTATTCCAAATTCAAAAATCACATCAAACTGTTCGAGTAATTTAACTTCCATTAGTCAATTTTCATTTTCATCATCATCAGTAGTTGAAGAAACTAAAAAGAAAACTACTGGTGGTCAAAAGAGAAAGGTTGAAGGTATAGAACAAAGACAACATGAAAGGTGTGATATCATCATTCCATTATCAATTAATCAACGAAATAATTCATTAATTGATTTTTTGATAATAGAATACTTTGAAATCGACATGCAGCACAAATATCAAGAGATAAAAAAAGAAAACAAATGACTGATTTAGAGGCACAGAACATGGTTCTTAAAGAAGAAAATATACATTTATCAAAAAGATTAAAGACTCTAGAAGAAGAAAAATCAGTTTTATTAGCTAAATTAGATACAATTTTAGAGCAATTTGCAAAAATTCGATCGCAACTTTCTGTTTCCAAGATGAATAAAGTCTTAGTTGATGATGTTCACGGATCAGCAGTATCTGCGACCTTGGAAACTTCAGATTCTTTTAATAATGATGATCATAATAAAGAAGAATCATTAGTAAAAAAAAAGCAATAATAATAATGATTATTTTAATCAATATCATCAAGAAATTGATGTTTCCAAGAAGTCCATGTCAAGTTCAGGAACCTTTATGGGTTCATCATCACAAATCCATTTGTCATACAACCACCAGCAACATCAACAGAACCATCAGATCCTATCATTTCAACAAATACTGAAACAAGCCTTGTTGACCTTTTTGATAGCTTTTTGGACTATGATTGGGGTTCAGGTGAAAATTCTTCATCAGTTCATCAATAATAACAATTTTCAAATGGTATTTGCTAAATGATGTTATCATCTTGGAATTTATTTGTTGTTGTTTATTAAATGAAAAACAGCAATATTTAAAATCGCCCGTAAAGACTTTACATGGTTGTACCTGAAGCATGTTCCACATGATTGGAGAAAATATCCACCATAACAAACATTTATTTTTGTATATGATTAATATTTTTATTCTTTTTTTATTCTATTTACTATTACTATTACTATTATTAACAGATTAAGATTTTATTGTTATTCCTACCAATGATTTCTCTACAGGAATTTCTCCTTTGTTTTTTTTATTAATGGTGTTAATTCCCAGATCAAAATTAAAAGTTTCTCCACAGAAATTTTCTTTGTTGATTTATATGAATTATTGTTAACAGTATTAATTCCCAGATCAAAACTACATATAAATGTATGATATTAGGTTACTCTGCAGGGATTTTTTCTTATTTACATCAAATGACCATTTAATTTCTGTTGGATTGTTAATGTCATTATGATTAAAAAAAACTTCATCCATGCTGCTAATTTCACCTTCCTCAAGGAGACTTATCATTTCAGTAGTAGTGGTGTAAATATTATTGCTATTATCTACTTGTTGAGTTGAAGCAGATTTATCTGAAAATGCTAAATCCATTATAAATCTTTGAGATGTTGAACAAAATATTGATGATGTTTTTTGTGTAAATCTTTGCTAATAAAGCAAAATAGTGCCTAAATTTTTCATAAATTTCTTGTTTAGAACAAGGAAAATTATAATATTGACAGAAACATGCACCAAATTTATTTTAATTATAATAATGATGATTATAATTATAAAGGTGATGGTGACGACAATAAGGATTCAATGAAAATGAAAGTGATAGGGTTGGTGGTATCAACATAACCAGATTTAAAAAAACACACTGAAAAAATCAATGTCAACATGAGCCAGATGGTAAAACAGTTTGTATTCGCAATGTTTGTTGTATTGATAAAAACTATTGAAGATTAGGAATTGCTACAATTTTATTGAGAGTATACCAAAAGAACATTATTATTAATAATAAAAGATGGTGGTAATGATATAAAAAATTACATGAAAATATTTGTTTAATGGCTCATAAGTTGATTAGCAAGAGTGAAGTTGTTTGAAGTTTGTATATATTTTCTATTTTTTAACCTTTATAAATTTAATTATTTTTACCAATTTGAATTAATATTATATATACATGATTAAAGTAAAGTTTTTTAAATAACAAAGTATCTAGCAAATTTTTAGATTTTTTTTAGATTCTTCATATTTTTCTTCTTTTCATAACATCACAACTTATCTATATTTCTTTATAATCTTTGAATTTCGCCCAAAAAATATATTCAAATCTCAAAACATCAGGAACCAAAGCTGAATCTCTTAAATAAAAAGATCTTGCCAAATCTGTATTAATTAAATATTTATAGAATCCTAAAGGTCTAATTAATGATTCTATAATTATGTACCATACTAATGCAAATATTGATCCAAATAAATTACCAAATAATACTTGTTTTGTTGTATGATAATTTAAATAAATTCTAATACAAATAAGTAATGTCAATTTTGATTAATATGTTGAGATATATATAAATAAATAGATAGGTATGTGTGAGAGATCCTTGCTTACCTTGAATAAGAAACTAATATTGAAAAAATTATTAAAAAACATGCAATTGGAAATTTCCATTTGTTATTCCCAAATGTTATTTTATAATTATAATAATCACATTATTGTTATTATTTTATAAATAAATATATTATCACTTTTAATCATTTATTTCAGCTAATAAAAAAAGACCTGTTATATAAATATAAAATTGCAAAAATTGCAAAAAAGGCAATAAATTGTGCATGAGATGATGGCATACCATATCCAGTACCAAGTTTATCTATTATCCAAATAACAATAATGTAAATATACAAAATCACTCACTCACTCACTCAACCAACCAACCAACCAACCAACCAACCAACCAACCATTACTAACTAACCTGTTGGTCTCTTTTCTCTCAGCCATCTTTTCAAAATGGCATTAAATAGTTCACAAATTGATTGTCCTATGAAAATGTTAATACCAGCAACTTCTCTTCTGGAAACTATTATGGTTACATATGCCACCATGATTGCTAAAGGTGATAAAGTTATATATGCAAATATGTATGCAATTGAGTCAGTTGGATCGAATTCTACATGTGTTAATGATAATGAAGTCAATGAAATATTATTTGACATTCTGCTTTTATTTGTTTCTTGGATAACAATTCAAATTTGGGAAATTATTTTTGTTACATATTAATTTTCTCCAACCAAATTTGGTACATTTCCGAAATTTAAAATGTCGATCGCACATGACTGGAAAATTAAAAAAAGAAAATGTGTTTACATAATTTTAAGAAAAACGCATAAGCAAAAAATTGACTTTGTGTGCAGGAAGTTTTAGGTGTCATCTAATTTCTTTGATTGACTTTGAACCAAGGATGGCCTACAACTTCACAAACGAAGAGCTCGAATGGCATTGATTTATGAGGAATGTTGTGTTTTTGATGATGATGATTCTAAAAAGGGTAAGTTTAATTGGTGTTTGACAAATCAATTTATTGTATAAAAAAGAAAATGCCAAACAGTAATGGTAATTACCTGTTTATTGTTTATGAATTATCATTCTTTCACTTAATACAGGCATTTTCTGGTAGGCTTATCCTATTTCCTCTGGCCATGGTGGAATAGGATAGATAACCTTATATGTGACAAATTCCAACAGAAAATCATCAGTTAATGGTAGAATACATTTAATATAACAACAAATATAATTTATTCAGATATATGACCATTTGTTATTACAATTTGTCATTACAAAATAGATATATTACATTGACCTGTTGATAATTATTTATACCCTTTAACAAAACAGCCAAGCATTGTAGTTGTCCAAGTTTAATGATATTTTTACCAATTTATTACCTTTCCCATGATCTATGTTAAGGATGCTGGCTGCAACTTTTGATGATGGTTGCTACCATCTTTACAACCATTTTGTTTCCTTTTTTGGATTGTGACATGGAACACTAGTGGCATTTTCAACTTTTGAATATTAGTAACTTTCTATATTTTAAAAAATCTTGACCCTACTACTAAATTTTGCTACCTCTTCTGTATATTGTTAACTATTAAGGTATGATCTTCACCCGAAATTTTCCAATTTTGTTATATAGTTGTCATTTAAAACAATATTGTATTATATAATATTAATTGATTTTATATTCAATTTCAGGCAATGAATTATTGTAAAATTAAATCAGGGTTGATTGTTCAGTGTTATGGTATAACTAAATTCCCAGATAATGGAAATTATGCAATAGTTTTAAATCATCATGAAGAAGGAAGTTTAAGGGGTTATTTGAAAAAAAATCATTTAAATTTAACATTAAAAGACAGAATTACAATCTTTAGATATTTATGTGATTCATTAGATGTTATACATGAAAAAGATTTAATCCATTGTGATTTACATAGTGGTAATATATTATTGCAAGGAGGTAATTGTTATATTACAGATTTGGGATTATGTGGACCAGTTGATGAAAAATCATCAGATAAAGTTTATGGAATTGTATCATATGTTGCACCTGAGCTACTTAGAGGTGAAAAGAACACAAAGGAATCTGATATTTATAGTGTTGGGATGTTAATGTGGGAAATATTTGCAGGTTATCTGCCATTTGATGATAGAGCTCATGACCATCATTTAATTTTTGACATATGTGAAGAAGGTTTACGACCACCAATATTACCTGGCATGCCTGATGATTATGCAGAAATGATGCAGAGGTGTTGGGATGTGGATCCATCAAAAAGACCAACTATTAGTGAGCTTTTCAAATTTGCTATAAATAAACACAAGGAAATTGATTTTAATAATGATGGTGGCAGCAGCAGTGATGGTGGTAGCAGTGTTTTGCAACAAGTACATAAATCACACCCAGGTGCATACCATACAAGTAGAATATTAAATGAAGAGATTGCTAGATCAAAAAGCTTAAAAGTTATACAAGTAATGATAATTCATTAAATTATCTTGATTTTACTTAAATGTCAAAGATGAATGAAAATTTCATTGTTAATTAATTGATTGGGAAATTACTATCTATTAATCATTAATAACAATATTTTTTACTTACATTAGATTCTAGTAATTAAAAGAAAGAATCAATGAGTGACTAATTTAATCTTCACTATAAACTTATTCATTATAATTATTCATCTTTTTATTTTATTTTTATTTCATTTCTAAACTATAATAATATTTTGAAGTAATAAACTTTTTACAGTTTTCTAGCTCTTGTTAAATATTGCAATGTAGCCTTTTGATTACAATTTAACTTTTGGGCTATTCTTGTCAGTTAATTGCAAGAAACTCGCAATAATTCAATGCTTGTCAATTAATTAGTTACGAATTTACTTTTGTTCTTGCTTACCGTCTCTTTCTTGTACCTAGAAAGTTCCAATGAATCTATATGCACATTTTATGGTGTTGAATAATTGTAAATAAGTTATATAAATAAAAAATTTAATGTTATCTCAAAAAAATTATTAATTGCATCATATTAAATTATTCTGATATAATCAATAGATATAGGAAATCTTTTAGGAACTGCTGAAAAGAAGATGATTAATAATGAATAATTATTTATTACATCAAAAAAATTTTTCTTAAAGATTATTTTTATTTATTTATTCTATTCTATGTCCATTGAATTATTCTTATTATCAGTTGCAACATCAACCTTAGCATCAACATCTACATTAACTCCAACATCAACATTAGCATTAATTGTATTTTCTAAATGTTGTTTTATGGCAAATAATGGATTTGTTTTGAATTGAGGATGCTGTAAGATTTTGTTAAATCTTTGGATTTCATCTTTACTTTTTTTATAAAAATATTGATATTAATAATTAATATTATTAATATTATGAACATATAAATGAATAACAAGTTAATAATTACTTTATTTTTTCCCTGGCTTTAATTGATTTTATTGGTTTGATTTTCAGTGTTGTTGATAATACATCATCATTGTTTTTATTTTTATTCTTTGACTTTTTATTCTTTTTCTTTTTCTTTAAAGATCCAGCAATTTTCATATTCGATGCTGTTGAATCATCTTTATCACTGCTATTATTGTTGTTGTCATTATTATTGTTATTGTTGCTATGATTACTGTTAGATGGATTATTACTACTATCAATAATATTACTACTATTACTCGTAATATCTTGACCTTTCTTGTTGGTGTCAGCTTTCTTATTATTTATTATATTTGAATCAATGATCATATGATTATTATCTATTTGTTCTGACGTTGCTTTTGTTGAAGACTTTGTTTTTTTAGGTTTCTTTTTTGGTTGTGTAGAAAATGGTTCAAATTCTATTGAAATGTATAATAAATAAAATGCATAAATCATAATATAATTTAAATATTATTTACTAGCAAATAGTTAAATATTGTTACTTTTCTTCCATTTCTCATGTCTTTGTTTAATCTTTTCCTTTTTTGTAAGAGGTTGATCGTTTATTGATGTTTCTACAGGTGGCGCTGAATCTTTCAAAGAAGTAGAAGTTAATTGTGAAACAGAAGATTTCAATGAAGTAGATGTTGATGATGATGATTCTTTATTAGTTGACTATTTTCAAACAATATTATAAATAAGACTATAAGAATTCTAATAATAATTCATAGTTCTAATTATTATTACTGTTATTTATTTTTTATTACCTTGTTTTCATCAGCTTGCAAAGCAGATCCGGGAAGAACCTTTTCTACATGTTTTTCAGGCACTGCAAAGCTTCTTTTTATTTTATAATGTAATTGTGGTCGACTTTTCTTTACTTTTGGCTTAATATATATTCAATGAATGAAAATTAATACTATGAATAATTTTATTGATATATAATGGAAAATAGAAAGTATTTACCATTTTGAAAAAAAAAATAAATTTTTTTTTCAGCTAAAATTTTTTTTCTAATTTTGGAATAGATATTGGAAAATCTTGATATCTTCGCCAAACCTTTTTTTATTATAACTTTTTATGTTTTATAAAAATAAAATAATAATAATGCGATTTATTTATTTTTGCTTTGCAAAGATTTTGTTCATGGACTTCAGTAAACTTGAATTTAGTAAACTGAATTTTGGGGTAAAAACCAAAGGCAAAAACCTGCTTGTGCGTTATTATTACCACCGAGACATCAACCAAATATTCAAACCAAATGGACAGTATGTCGAGCCTCATTTACAACACAAGCTGGCTTTTGTGATATATTGAATAAGAAGAATTGGAAAGAATATTGTATCATTCTTTTTTGTGACAAATTTGACAAAGTGAATGAGGGAGGCAGTGGAAATTAAAGATTTCTTGCCGAGGTATTTCCATTCTCCATTCATTTATTGGTGTCAGCCAGCACCTTTGCAATAGTGCTGCTAAATTCTGAAGCAACGAATGAATCCCTTCTAATTTTTGAAGGTAATTTAGGAACTCTAATATCCAAGCGAAGGAACTTTTTGATGAGTTCATGACTAAAAGCAAACTTTTCGCTAACTTTGTGCTTGCATCTTTTTGGCAGTCATGCTTATGGCTGTCAAATGAAATCCCCAATCATCCTACCCAATCAGCGTTCAGTATTTGTGAAAGTCACTCTACTTATGGTTAGCCCATCCCACATAGTAATAGTTTAAAAGTTCTCTAGTGACCCAGAGCATAGTGGAAGTTTGTTGTTACACGAAACATTATACAGAACTCATTGCTTCTGAAACTTCGCCAGTATATAGTTGTTACCTCTCTAAATTGGAGATCAAGTTCAGATCCAATTCAAATCCAGTTTATCACTTACTTTTTATTGCCAGAATGTTTGCCGTGTATTGTAAAGCTACATTGCACAATATAAAAAATTAGTGTAACATTTCAAATTTCCATTATGCTGTGACCCAGTTGATCATCCAAAATGTGACAAACGTGATGATTGAAGATTATGATGACGCATTCAAATTTTATAAATTGATTTTTTTTTTTTTTTCAAAATTTTCATTTTTCCTCAAATTTACAATGGTATATTTAATTTTAATTGAAAATTCCTTTTTAATAGATCATGAAATCAATTTTGTATTGATTCGGATGTATTGACTATATATACACATATACATACAGGGTAATTCTCAATCTCTTAATCTTCAACCACCAGGATCCGGTAAAGACGATAAGAGTAAAGATGATAAAGTACTATAATGAGTATTTCTTTTAACAGAGATTCGTGATCTATATTTGATTATTTAAACATTTTTTTTTAGGATAAAGATAAAAAGAAAAAATGGGAGCCACCACTTCCCACACGTGTCGGCAAAAAAAGGAGAAGAGGACCTGATGCCATTTCTAAATTACCAGCTGGTATTAATTGAATTTATTTTTATTTATTTATTTAAATAGACCATTCAAGGAGCTTTTCTTTCGAATTAGATTTTATAATAATAATAATAACAACAATTATTCTTGTTGTAAAATTGATCTCAATTAGTATTTCCTACAACAAGATGTCGTCTTAAATTGTTAAAGATGGAACGTATAAAGGATTATTTATTAATGGAAGAAGAATTTGTTCAAAATCAAGAAAGATTAAAACCACAAGAAGAAAAAGCACAAGTATGGGTTTTTTTTGTTTAAAAATTTTAAACCAATCACAGATTTCATTCCCTTTCGCTATATTTTTTTAAAATTTCTTGCGTGATATAAAATTTATGTAGGAGGAAAGAACAAGAGTTGATGATTTGCGTGGATCACCAATGGGAGTTGGTACATTGGAAGAAATTATAGATGATGACCATGCGATTGTTTCATCTTCTACAGGTCCAGAATATTACGTTAGCATTTTATCATTTGTTGATAAAGATCTATTGGAGCCTGGATGCTCAATTCTTTTGCATCACAAGGTATGAAATAAAATTTTTGTATTAATTTATTAGCGCATGTACGTATGCATGCACATATTCATAAATATGCGTGATTGGGGGGTTTTTTTGTAGGCCATGTCTGTTGTTGGAGTACTCCAGGATGATACGGATCCAATGGTCAGTGTTATGAAACTTGAGAAAGCGCCCACTGAATCATATGCTGACATTGGTGGATTAGAACAACAAATCCAAGAGATTAAAGAGTCAGTAGAATTACCATTAACACATCCAGAATTATATGAGGAAATGGGAATAAAACCTCCAAAAGGGGTTATTTTATATGGGGTTCCGGGAACAGGTGCTGATAATGAATTATTAAACAACAAAAAACAACAACAAGAATAGGTTTTAATTTAACTAATTGATTACCTTAATATCTGCACCGCTTAAATCATCCTTAGACATGACAAATTCTTCAAGGTCTACATCATCTGATAAAGTCATCCTACCAGTATGTATATTAAAAATCCTTCTTTTAGTTTTTACATCTGGTAATGGAAATTCTATTTTACGATCAATACGTCCTGGACGAATCAAAGCAGGATCAAGTGATTCTATACGATTTGTCGCCATGACGACCTTTACACATTAATAAATATATGCACGTATATTAATAAAAATATAATAATAATAATAATTATTATTATTATTATAATTAAAATATAATAAACCTTAACATCTCCTCTAGAATCAAAACCATCTAATTGATTTAATAATTCCAACATAGTTCTTTGAATTTCTCTCTCGCCCCCAGAATTTGATTCATAACTAAACACAATATGCAAATTTATAATTATTATATTTGATGTTTGTAAAAAATTATCAATTAGTAAGTAAATGATTATTAAATACCGTTTCGTTCCAATAGCGTCTATTTCGTCAATAAATACTATTGATGGTGCATGTTCTTCTGCAACACGAAACAATTCACGTACAAGTTTTGGACCATCTCCAAGATATTTTTGAATCAGCTCAGACCCAACAACACGTAAAAATGTAGCTGATGTTTGATTGGCTACGGCTTTTGCTAAAAGTGTTTTACCTTTTTTCCAAAAAAAAAAAAAATAGCAAATATAATATGTATATATATATTCATTTATTA